TGAAGTTTTCTCGGTGTAAAGGACACCAGGCTTCAAACAGTGCTTTTTTGCTCCCTGCGACCGGGGGAGGCTTCAGAGGCTCCCTTCTATAACTTCGAAACCGCTCATGATAAGACATCTTCCACCATGTTACCCGACCCCTCCTAAACTAGGCAAATCATTTGTGGAGACCTGTATTGGACAACTGATGCGTGGCTCAAGAGAGTACAGTTAATTGCCTCAAGAGCTTTTCCAGGAAATTATGCAACACATCCAGGAGCCAAACAAATGTAGGTTTCCATTTAATATATAGATTTAGCCAGGGCTAAAAGCGAAGCTCTCGATAATATTTGTTCAAACAAAGTATAAAATCGTGTAATGCTAAGCGGCGAAGGCAACGCCGGAGAACGGTGAAAAACAAAAATAGGTCTAATTAGCAAAAAAGCTAGGAGCTTTGCACGTGCAGCACACTTTTTTGTACAGTTCTTTGCCGTTGTTTTGCACGACTACAACGTGAAACTTCCAGAAACTTCTTAGTTACACGTTTTATGGACTAAAATGCCATACGTTTTCTCGTTCCCTTTTTTTTCACTGCCGCTCACTTTCACCTTGCATTGTGGGCCTCTAGCATTTCTCAATTTGTCACCACCGCTACAGAATTGTCATGTTGCGGCTTCCAACAAAAAAATGTCTCCTTTGTTTTTTTATCTCTCGCTCTAGATCTCTGTCGCCCTTTATCTCGTTGAGCTTCGCTGGCCTGCTGCCTACTTTCTCTTTTTCTCTGTCTTTCTCTTGCTCTATATTCCCAGTTTGTGAACATGGCAATTAATCTAAGTTTAATACCTTCGAAAACACGAATACAGAAACAATTTCCGCTTTCCGTTTTCGTCGTTATTGACTCTTTAATTGTCTCTGCTTCACAAGACGCGGGTGGCTATGCGATTTTCCGTTACAATAACCTCGAGTTACTTTTGGGTTACCGGTTGAATGAGTTATTTTACATTGGTATGCCTGTGGTACGGACGGACGGTCGGGCGGTCGGTCGGTGTACGGTCACGTGATTACCAAATTTTCTCGGATGGGTAGTTTACCACATTTTCTTCGCGTGCGAGAGCTCCGCTATGAGTAGATGCTATAAAATAGTAGAAATAGAATCAAATGTATATATAACAATTATTCACCGAAGTGGAGGTGGCTAGTCCTGGATATTTACCGAACTGCGAAGCAGTGAGGTAAATATCCACGACTAGCCACCGACACTGAGGTGAATAATTGTTTTAGTATATACTAAAACAGTGAGATAATTGAGCACAAAAAGGACGATTTTTAAC